CATGAGATTGTTTTTCCAATCTTTCCTCTTATTAATATATAAAAAATCATACTGAGTTTCATTCATGGTTCTGGTGTTAATTAAATTTTAATTCAGGGGGGGGTAAAAACAGCCAAAAAATTCGTCATGTAACATACATTTCAAGGTCGCCTGATCAGGCAAGAGAGGAGAGAAGGCCTCTGTCATGGAACAGATACTACAAACTAGGGCTCTTCTTCCGGAAGAATCCAGAAGAAAAGCCTGAGTTTTACTTAACCCGCCTCCCCACTGAGTCAGGTTGTGAAACAAGGTTGTTTTTTAACGTGGAGACCCGAGTGGAAACACTCGGGCCGCTAATCATAGCTTGTCTAAGTTAGTCATAGCTGGTCATACCACTGCTACATAACAGATATTACACAATCGTGGAAGGAACGCAAGAATGGAGAGAAGGACTCCAGCACGGAACAGATACTACAACCGCAGCATCTACTCCGACGGGGAAATCCCCATTCTCCTCCTCTGCCAACCCCTCCGACAGAATCCGGAAGAAGAACCCTCGACGTCTGCAACCCCTTTAATATTCTTTCGCTCATGCTCATTTTATCTTGTGGCTGAGGCCCGGAAATCTGCATAAGGTACAAATTCGTCTCGCAAAGTCTCTGAGCTCTGAGATCGAGTTGTTATTAAATGGTAGCGTTTGGATCAGCCATATTTTCTTTGACGTATTTTGCACGCGAGACATATACGAGCGCGTTTTGTTCTAGGAGATAAGTCGTTTTCCCTTTCACAGAATTTAAGTTCTTTTTTTTTCTCACAATATTTCATAACCCTATCCTAAAACGAAATAAACTGATAACAACAAAATTTTGGTGATGGTAATTAGTAAAATGATATGCTGGGCGATAATTAATGAAATTATTCAAATTTCAGAAACCGAATTGTCTTTGTCCTCTTTTTCTCAGTTTGTTTTGGTCTTCATCATAGAAATAATTGGAGTTCCTTATCTTTTTAGCGTCTATTTATTTCATGTTATCATCATGTTCATATCAGCAATAACCGATTCGTTGTTTTACATAAAACCGACTTTATTGAAAAGGACAAATGCACTGGTCTGTTAAATGAAACTAGAAACCATAATGTTCTCAGCTGACATAAAGTTGAAAGACTATATTGAATCCATTGCTAGGTCACCTGCTAAGAAAATTGATTTACTGTGTCGTGCGAGACAATTCTCAATTACATAGTTATAAATCGACCATTTATCCATACTTAGAATATTGCTGCCACTTATGGTCCGGTGTCTCTGCTATTTAACTTGAGCTCCTTGATAAGATCCAAAGAAGAACCAGCAATATTATTGATCTTGATCTGGCATCTCGGCTTCAATCACTTTCACACCGCCTTAAGGTTGCCTCACTGTGTCTTTTCTATAAATACTTTCATGGTAATTGTTTAGATGAGCTCTTCACTATGGTACCTAGTCTTTTTGAATCTAAGCGCAGTACTAGACTGTCGTCGAGATCTCATCAAGTGTTGTGGAGTGGTTTCACAGTGGAGGCTTGTATTTGTACTAAGTCGGTCCTAAAATAGGTTCGACGTACAAAAACGTTACGTTACGCAGAGTAATCTAGCTGTGGTCGCTGATACTTTAGTATTCGACTAACTGTCGTCCGGCATCGACTGACTGACCGACCCACTGAGCGACTGACTTGTTACTCTTACTATTCCTACTTATTATAGGTGGGAGAGTCTATTAACTATAGAATAGGTGTGTTCCACTATAACATCAAGTTACGGTTGAGCTGGCTAGATGTAGCCATAAGTTCTATGCTAACAGTTTCTTTTCTCGCACTTCTCCCTTGTTAAACTCCCTTCCTGCTCCATGCTTTCCAGCCAACTTTAATCTGCAAAAATTTAAACGCAATTTAAACACTATCTACTGCGCACCCCCACTGAATACACTTTTCCACCTTTCCGCTCATTATTAATGTTTCTGTTCCTTATTTTTCTACACCCCTTGTGTTTTAGTGGCTTTACAGCCTTGCATGGAGTGATACCGATTAAAAAAAATTAATCTTAGTCCTCGCACAACTTGCATTTATGGTGGATTTCACTTAAAAGTGAACTTTTGGGAATATTTCGATCGTCGAGGTTTTTTTTTATTCTTATTGTTATGGGACCTTACCCATAATAACATAATAGACTAATCCATACGTAATAAATACTGCGCCTCAAGAGGAAGCAGGGAGTTTCCGTCTGAAGTCTAAAGTTCAGTCTGAAGACTGGAGTGAAGTCCGTCAGGAGTCTGTCAGTCAGTCAGAGTGAGCGAGCCAGTCAGTCGAGTCAGAGGCAGTCCGAAACAGAGTCGCGTTCAGACAATTACTACTAAACCTGATTGTTCATACTAACACTTTTCTTCTTCTCTGTATATATTCTTGTTTGTAATATATCTGTGTTATTCCATATCCGTATTCGAGTTCTTCTTTATTGGTTCTACCTTGGACTATCACCGTGGTACAAGGAACCGGACCATAACACTTATCCAATCAGCTTTGTTTGGTCTCATAGCCAGTGCTGCTTTTAGCTGCCTGTGGAAACGTTCCTTCATCCCATTTGCACAAGCGTGGCATGCTGTAGTTTTTTTATGTCTTTAGTTCCAAGTAGGTGATTGAACTCTTTAAACAGGATAAACTGATATAACAATGTTTGGAAGACATGTACATTGGCCACAACATTGCAAAATATACTTTAGGTATTAAAGCATTATGATATGTAATCATAATTCTTTAATACCTAAAGCACGGTGGAGTAATAGATAGCCTTGAATGGCAACTGGTCTCGGAGAAGGAAAAATTCAAAACTTGCGGAGGGTCGTTTGGGGACCTTCTCTGTAATCGCCCCTTCAAAAAGTGTGGGTGGTCCTGCACGAAACCTTCACCACTATAATCAAATCTCATGTGCTGTTGTCGGGCTGTCGGTTTCCTGGGAACTGATCTGAAGCCTATACATGCGGGTTTGGAGACCGCTTGTGAATTCCAAATTCCCATGAAACTCCAATATTGTAGCCGGCTCAACCCACTCCGGGTGAATGCCGTTACAAGGACAAAGAAGAGACAATACCTAAAGTATTATCATAAGGATTAAAGCATTATGATTACATATTACTGGAAATAAATTTCTAACGATCTGGGGTGGGGCCGTTGTGTTCATTAAAAATAAATAAATAAAAATTAATTCTGCTATCAAAAGTGATTACAATAAAATAATTAAAACAATTATAATTATCAATAATACGATTCACCCTTTCTAAACCAATGAAAATTGGCCCCACTCATCACCTCTACCACACACAAACACTTGACACACAGACAAGCAACCAATATGAGGGTTGACCAAAATTTTGTTTCCCTTCCTTTTCAGGTCACATCAATAATATTTTTTATCATTTCTTAATACTCATAACTAAAATTCGAGATAAGAAACCCCCAGACTTCTTTTTTTTCCTCCAACTAAATTACCTGGACACGCACTGCACACATTATATAAATAAGAAAAAGCACACAAGAAAGACGATATATACAATTTGCTCAGTATTACTGTCTCTCACTGTCTCTCTAACACACATAACAACCACTGTCAAATAGGGACCCCACTTATAGAAAACCTGCACTGAATCGTAAAATAAGAAATACAGTAAAGCTAAGTTATTTGATTAAAAAAGCTTTTAATTTTTTTATGAATAAGATATATTATGGACACTATTGTCTTAAGAAACGCATTTTTTTCCATGAATAATTAATTTTTATTAGAATTTTCAATTTTTCAATTTTTAATTATAATATTTTATAAAATTTTAAATCTTTTAAATTTTTTTATTAATTTGTAGTGGTCAAATAATATTGTAATTAAGTAAATCTATTACTAATCATAAATGGAAAAGCTTATTACAATTCATCGACGCCCAGTATTTTAAAAAGAATTTTGAATTTATTTTGTATGTGTATAAACGTGCCGAGTTTTGTAAATATGGATGTCCATACACGTCATTATCAGAAAATAAGAGCGGTAACGATAGTAAATTTAAAATTATTGGTAATTTCCTAATATTTCCTCAACAAATGTCTTAGTAAGACTATAAAACCAAAGTATCTAAAATTCAATAAAATGTTTAAAATATTTAAAATTATTCAGTAGTTCAAAAATTATCTAAAAAAAGGCGTTTAAGTTGTACTCGTAATGTAATTTTACTATAATTATTTTCCCCTTACATAAATTTGCAATCGTCAATTTATAACAATAAATATGTCAATGCCTCATATAAACAAATTCTTTTCTGCGATGTTTTAAATTGAAAGTAATTAGTAATATTTGTTTCAACCTAGATCAATTAAACTTCCTCAAATGAAGTTTTTGAAAAGTATATTTTATTTTTGAAAGATTTTTTTTTTAAATAAAGAGAATTATGCTGTGTTGACAGATTTGTCAACAAGTCCGATTTTAGCGATTATAAAAAGACAAAATAATTTCAATCAATTTAATTTCGGTCTGAAATACGGCAAAGTATTTTATAGGTACCTCCGTTTTTTTTTCGCGGGAAAACAGATAGCGTAATGAAAAAGGCCACAAACTTAACGAAAATAAAGTTTTATCGTCAAAATATGTTATTATTTTTGCATATTGGAAATATGAAATTCAATCTATTAGTTTGCAAGTAAAGCTAAAATAAAATACTTCAAGAGAGATTTTTCATTTTAAAGTGCTTTTTAAACCTTATGTATCGCTTATTTTGAGGTAACGACATAAAGTGGAAGGGAGATAGAGAACAAAGAACACAAGAGATAGAGGGAGAGAAAGAGAGAGAGAGACAGTGTGGAAGTAAGTGATTAGGTTAACAAATATCACGTGCAATGCCTCAAAATTATTTAAGAGAACGTACATATTCATTTTAGTTTTTCGTGTGGTTCAGCCGGTGATTACTGTTGTACCAAATACATTTTTTTTTTACTGGAATTTTCTAAACGATGCCACAACATATAAGAGAATGTTGCACCATCATCCGCAAAGACATGATGACCCTGTTTACTGTGTCTCTTCTACTTGTCTGTATCTGCAGAGTCCAGTCGACAAGTCAAGAGGTAAGACTCTCTAAAATAAAAGTGCTTCTAACCTTCTGTTTTTAACCGACGCAAATAAATGCATTTGTATTTTTTACCGTTGCAGACGATATAAATGCTTCTATTTTCTTTTTTTTTCTTCTTTCTGTATTTCTGCTTCTTTTTATTTTATGTTCCACTTTCTTCTTTCATTTTTTTTCTATGACTAGATTTCTTTCGTTTTGATTATTTTCTTTCTTTCTTTCTTTCTTTCTTTCTTTCTTTCTTTCTTTCTTTCTTTCTTTCTTTCTTTCTATTTGAATTTCTTTTGTTTTAATTATCTTCTTTTTTTAAAATTTTTCTGACTGGATTTATTTTGTTTTGATTATTTTCTTTCTTTCTTTCTTTCTTTCTTTCTTTCTTTCTTTCTTTCTTTCTTTCTTTCTTTCTTTCTTTCTTTCTTTCTTTCTTTCTAAATGGATTTGTTTTGTTTTGATTTGATTATCTTTCTTTTTCTATTTTTTTTTTCTGACTGGATTTCTTTTACACTATTTACATTGCTCAGGCTATCATCCTTATCTTTGTTACCATATTTATCAAAACGTTTCGGCCGTTGTACGCTCCTGCCTTCTTCAGGTGTTTGGATATCGTACTGAACCCTTTATTTCGCTCGCTGGGGTAGACTGTTCTAGTTTCACGTGCTATGTCTAATGGATGTCAGTTATAGTAAATAGTGTACATAATACCTCATACTATATAGGGGGGGGGAGATGTTATAGTTGTTACAACGAGAGAAAAGTGTATATGTTAATAAGAAGAGAGAAACCGCAATCACTTTTCGTTGTAATGTGGATTTAAAAAAAAAATATATATATTATGCTTTATTTTCCATAATTTTGTAACACAGGTTTCGGGTCTCGTGACCTTCTTCAGGCAAAGGGTGGATATTTCCACATATTATTAAAATGAATTAATTTTCCTTATGTTTTTCGATGTTAAACATTCTCGATGTTAAACATTCTCTTTTTTGTGAGGTAGTGGACTAGAGAAAGAGAGAGAGAGAGAGAGAGAGAGAGAGAGAGAGAGAGAGGGTGAGAGAGAGAGAGAGAGAGAAGGATGATGATAATCTACCTGTTATCTTTTATGAGGCTTTACATTAAATCTGCAATATTATTGGTCCTGATCTTCTATCCCAGCTCTAGTTGCTTTCCCACCGCCGTAATGTAGCTTCCCTGCGCATTTTCATGGTAATTGTTCTGATGAACTTTCCTTTGTGGTATCTAGACTTTATGAGTTTAAGCGCAGTACTAAATTGGGACAAGGTCTCATCATTTTACAGATGAAATGACTAAATGTAACCGTAAGTTCTGTGCTAACAGTTTCTTCTCTCGCACTTCTCGCTTGTGGAACTCTTTTCGGCTTCTTGCTTCCCAGTCCACTTTGATCTTCAATAATTTAAATGCAATGTCAATAGTTATCTTCTGTCTTCTTAATTCCTGTTCTGTTATTGTTCTCTCACCTCATATTCTATAAAACTAAGTAACCTCTTACAAACAGTGAGAACTCTTATCCAAAAAATTAAATATTATATTTAAACTTATTTGTTTTATAAAGATTAAGCGTTATATTTTTTTAATCGGATTCACCCCAAGCAAGGCAGTAAAGACACTAAGACACAAGGGGGTTACTGGGTGTGAAAGAATTTGAAATCAGGAAACATTACTAAGGAAGAAGAACAATAGAAGAGTAAACAGGAGGACAGTAGATAACGATTGGCATTGTATTTAAATCTTTTGAAGGTTTTCCCTGATTGTGTTGTAAGTAAACCAGACTTGTGTCCACTAAGATGAGAGTCAATCAGTCAGTTAGTTAAGTGCCATGCGTGTTATACGCTTAGACGATTATATATCTGACTGACTAGGCAGAAGATTTTCTCGCAGTAGGTTGCCATTTCTGCGGTAGACATATTGTCAACCAAGGTTATCGGATCCAGACTATCATGCTATTTAACCTTTAGCTGGAGGGGGAGTAGAGATAGGGATGGGAAGGAGAAGGCTTTATACATTTCCCAAGGATATTTGTAAGTGATTGAACCCGACTGGAATTCGAACGCGGTCTCATTTTATCCATTACACCGTACAAAATTAATATGGCAAAAGAGCAGACCTATACCCTATAGATTAAAAAAAAAAATTAAAAAAAGGGTTCAATTCGAAATTCCCTGAAGGTTAGTCGGATTCACAGTCCTGAAGAATACAACCAGGTACACCGAAACGTTGTGATAATAACAACAAAAATGAAAATGATTAGTTCGAATGTAAATTTATTTAGCTCCTCATTCCAGAAATTCAGGCAGATGCTGTTATTTAATTCTATATTCCACTTCGTTTTAAACAACCAAATGTCAACAAGAGACAATAATATTACTTTACGTGCAAAATTGGTTTACGATATTTAGAACATGGACTCCCATCAGAGTTATTTAGAACTCAAGGTCAAACCTAGTGTGTGTTCCACCACTCCTTCGAATAAGTTTTAATTACGTAAATACATGGTATTATTCTAAAGTATGTAGATGCTAAATGACACAAACTAACCATTTCCTTTTTCTGGCTTATATTGCGGTAGTCTTCTACTGTATAACGTAGAAAATAATTTGTTCATCATAGCTATCTACCCTACGGTACAAATTAGGTACTTCCATTAATTCGCTGAAAAAAGAGCATACCATGATGAAAAAAAGGCCCCAAACTCAATAAAAACAAAGTTTTATTCTATCGCCAAAATCTTAGTTATTATTAAGAGGAAAAAACCCAAAGTATTCTTTGATTATATGATTATATATTTTAATCTATGTTAGAACGATCGAAATTTTGGTTAAAAATCTTGTTTTCCTTGCGTCAGCGGGTGGACTATAAACTAGCATACCAAATTTTAGCGTCTTTTTGCTGCAAAAAATACATTGATTTGGAAATTCTTACAATAAACAGTTAATTGTCGGAAACTTTCAGGATTTATTCACAGATGAATGAAATTATTTCAGAATTATTTTTTTTTTAAATCTTGGTAAAAATATTTTTTGCATCTTTTACTCCCCACACCACATATTCAATTTTATGAAATTTCGAGAAATTAAATTTTGTAAAGCTTAATGCTTATATTAGTTAAAAGCAGAAGTCCTTGGAGAATTTAAATCATCATTTTCTTTTTTGTTCAACAGGACTCCGAGTTACCGAAAATGTGCTCTGAATCGTAAAATAAAAATGCAATAAAACTAAGACGTTATTTAATTACAAAAGATTTCAATTTTATCAATAAGATATCTTAAGGACACTATTGTCTTAAGAAGTCATTTTTTGATGCATACAGAAGCTGTAACTACAAATACTAAAAAGAACTGAATATGAAAATGTAACGATGTTTAGGTAGTTAATGTAATATCCAATTGCTATACATATTTGTAGTGTAGGAGGAATCATTTTCTCCTTTTTTATATTGAAAACGAAATGAATAAAAACGTACAACGATAACAACAATAAAACTTGAGACACATGTTGAGATTAATAACAATAATTTGTATTTTTCATGATGTGAATTACAGATATTGGTATGGTGTGTGTTAAAAATGTTCTCAGTATAACTGTCTCTTTTGCTTCTTTAAAAGTTTGCGCTTGTTTTTTTTTTGGGGGGGGGGTTCCGAGAATTTTGTTGATGAGGATAACATTTGAAATCGTCAGTTTTCGTTTTTCGGAGCGATGGCGATACGTTGTTTTGTGTTAATTTTTTTTTTTTTTTACTAATGTTCTTGCCTCTTGCGACTGTCAGTCAGTTCTGACGAGGCAGATTTTTCCCCACAGTAGGTTGCCATTTCTTTCTGCTATCCAAGTCTATAGAACCCGGTCTGTCCTGCTATTTACCCATACCTGGGGGTGGGGTAGAAGAAGAGGATTCATACCTTTTCCCAAGGGTATTAGCACGTAAGTGAATGGATTCGACTGGAATTCGAACTCGGCTCTCCGATTCCTCAATCCGAGCCGCTATCTATTACTCCACGTGCCTCCTATTCTCTATTCTACTGACTGCCTGTCCTAATTGCCATCCTAACTACCATCGCTTGTGGTGGAATGGTCGTTTTTAAAATAAGATTTTAGAATGATGAAATATCTTTCTTATCTTTCATCACTGGTGGCAATGTTCTTTTTAGGATGGTCATCGTCCTGGATCATAGCAAAAAGAAATAACCCGAAAACAATAAAATTTGTTTAAATTCAGAAACATATTTAATATATTAAAAGGCAACAGCAAAAAACAAAAAAGAACGCAAAACTTTAAAAACCGATATGATATGTGAAGACTTAAAAACCGATATGATATGTGAAGACTTAAAAACCGATATATGTGAAGACTTAAAAACCGATATATGTGAAGACTTAAAAACCGACATGATATGTGAAGACTTAAAAACCGATATGATATGTGAAGACTTAAAAACCGATATGATATGTGAAGACTTAAAAACCGACATGATATGTGAAGACTTAAAAACCGATATGATATGTGAAAACATGTTTAACCTACAGGGTGCCCATTAAAAAAGCGGCAAATTTATTATCACTGTTTTATCTTTGAGGAATAACTGACTTTGAATTAACCTTGAATAAATTTCTTGAATATCCATGACTTTGAATAATCATTCGATTCACGTAATTACTTAACTCTTATTGGTTCTTTTATGATTGATTAATTGCTACTCGAGCTTTTGACTCGTTATATAAAGGTTATTTGCAGACAACTTTCGTCTTTCGTACTGCTCTTCTCGTATGGCTAAGCAACTCACTGATTTTGATCGTCAAGTTATCGTACTTTTCAAAGAACATCCGACGTGGGGATTGACGAAATGTACAGAAATTTTTCCTGAATTTTTCAGTCACATCAGTCGTCACCAGTTTTCAACGGTTGTCTCACGTCTTTCTGAATTTACCGCTTTTTTTTGGTGGTGGTGGGGGCATCCTGTAGATGCCTTTTCTGTTATATAAAGAGTG